TAATGCATTTTAATTATTAAAAGTATCCTAGCTTTTATAGTTTAGCATAATAAAGTATATTATGGTTCCTTTTATAGTTTAGCCTACTACGTTTTTTCATATGTTTAGAATAAAGTATAAAAGATTAACTGAAAGTTCCGAGCATAAACCTTCAAAATTTAAAGGTTTATAACAATAAAAAGAGTAAAACGTTTATTAACAATTAATAAACTTAAAAGTTAAGAGAAAGTGGAGTAAAATATTATCATGTAGTTTGCTGAAAAATCACTTTTATTGTCAACAGTAAAGATGTGTTGATAAATCACAAAATTGCAAACCTTGGTAGATTAAAAGAATCTGGAGAAGCCAAATACATAGCACACTCTGGAAATGTATATAACATTATTCTAAGAGCTCTTAATAGACCGTCTTTAGTAATTATATCCATATGTCGGCCCAGGGGTGAGGAGTGATGGTTTATACACTGCCATACCTTTAACTAATTACATAAATTTTGAAAAAAACACACACATTTTTGATATCTATTTGTTTGAAGCGTGAATTTTTCCACCACAAATCCCATTGATCTTCATTGTGAAAATTCTTATTGAATTCGATCATTCCGAATTCAATAAAAAGTTCTCTTAAAAAGCTGTTTCCTTTATGATCAACTTTAAAAATTTTAGCCATATTGTAGGTAAAAGGAGTTTATTTATTTACAAAGGAATTTAATAGCATTCCTGTATTAATTCTTTCCAGAATACGCCCTAATGTGTTTCCACGGAACTGAAAATAAATTTAAGAATCGCACAAATAATAGTTTAAAAAACCTACCTCTTATCTTATATAAATATATTTATTTTATATAAAAAATAAGTAAATGTGTTTTAAGTGTTATATATTTTTAAATACTGATTAATTTAAACTTTGTATTTTCAACTTACAATTATTTAGATATTTGAATTAATTATTGTGTTTTTATACATTAAAACATTATCTGACAATTTGCTTAAATCACATGGAATCGTTTTCCCAAGGCACCCTCCCCTTTGGAGATGATCAGGTTTTATCGGTCTTTTATTATTATTAAAGGCATCGCAAGAAAAGCAGAAGGCTGATGCCGAAAAAGAAAGGAAGGAGCTAAGAGATTCTGTTCTCTCGAGAGTTCTTGATCAATCTGCACGTGCAAGACGTATGTCACTTACTTTTATTTGCCAGTCAATACACTTAAAATGACTAAACCAGAGCTTGCCCAACAGGTTGAGACAATGCTTTTCCAAATGGGCTGTTCGGGGCGAATACAGAGCCAGGTTAGTTCTTCAGAATGCCATGAAACTTCTTTATTTTTCTTCCAGACTCGCATTTATATCCTAACTATTTAGCAAAATGATAAGCGTACTTAACCTTAT